TGGGTGGCACACCAGGAGCCACCCAACTCTCACCCCAAAGGAGACCTGATTCTAAATATGGAACTACAGTGTTCCCTGTGGTGTTTAATGGAAAATTACCTGGGGAATTTGGGACAAGGAGGGCTTCATACCTGAGCCAGTCAGATGAGGCCGTAATGCTGTCACTGACCCAGGTAACTGTCAGTCACAGTGGCAGAGCTGGACATCTTCCTGAGAAGTCCCCTGGGGTCACCAGTGGGGAGGTGACAGGGTGGCCACAGCCCCCAGGACATGGCTCTCTAGAGGGTGGGGTGGGAACAAAGGTGACCAGAGGCAGCATCATGTGACAGTGCCCAGTAGGCTCCAGCCCACAAGTTCAGTCCCTAGAATGGCAGGCAGAGCAGGCCCCAGAGCTGCCTCTCCAGGCCCGGCTCCCGTCCTTCCTCTCCACTGCTTTTCTCTTTCTCTTCCTTTTTCCATTGGTGGGGAAATGAGCCTCCATTCAGTCCAAGCCCCTCTGCTGAGGACAGTTTCCCTCCAGCCGCTGTGACTACATGGAACCCTTGAAGCTTGTGGCCATGCCCTCTGGGGAGCTGTAGGTGGGGGAAGTGGTGCTGCCCACAGCTGGGGCCCCCATGGGGTTTGGGGAGCAGGAAGCAGGGGCAGGGGTGAAAAGGCAGCTTGAAAGAGGAGGTGGCCAGTTGGGAGTTCCCAGTCCATGCTCCTCGCAGGCCTGTGGCTGTTGGTGAAGCCTGCTACCAATGTCCCCATTCCCCCTCAAAAAACCAAACAAACATAAAACAAACAAAAAAGATTTATTTGCAAATGAACAGGGCTCTCAGTCAAGGCAGCTCCTGGAGTTCAGGCAGCAGGCGGGCCTGTGTGTGGCTGTGTGTACGTGGGCTTGGGCCCCCTTACAAGGAGGGTGCCTTGGCTGGGGAGGCACGGTGGGGGGGAGAGGGTGGAGTGGGGGTCTGCAAGGGATGGGGACGGGAGGCACGGTGGGGGGGTGTTGGCTTCACGCTGGTGCTGGTTTGATTTATCCCTAATGAGTTCTCAGCACATGGCTGCTCCCGGCTCACTCCAGGGGCCAGCACGGCCTCCCGCGGGCCCAGCCGCCCCAGCTCCAGAAGAGCCGCCGCTCGCTCAGAAAAGAGCCAATTTCCACACTGCACAGTCCGCTTCACTCAAGGGGAAATCACATTTCCCTGGGAGAGCCGCGGGCAGCGCTTCACTCCACAGCCTGGCCAGATGCCACCAGGCACAGATGCAGAGGGGCTGGGCCCGGCTCCCTTCTCCCATCATCCAAAGTCTGCTCCTTGCCACCCCCGGGACCCAGTAACCCCCAGATCTGGACGGCCTCTCTGCCCCTGGAGCTCGGCCTCTGCTCCTTTGCAACAGAGGAGAGGGCGTGTGTGGGGGATATGCTGACTGGGAGGAACAGCTTGCCTGCTCCCTCCTGTATCTCCCAGGAAGCCTGCACCCTGGTTCTGTTTGGGGGGAGCTGAGAGATGGGGTTCGGGGGTGACTACAGGAGTGCGAGTGCACAGGGCCCCATGAGGATGGGATTTGCTGTCAGTGTTGGGTCCAGAGCCTCCAAAGAGCCAGAGGAGCAGAAGGAGGTAATGAGAAGAACAAAAAACTGAAAGAGCGGACCTCTGGTATTTGCTGAGCATGAAGCAGGACTTGAAGCCCTATGTGTCCACAACCCAGAGACACAGATGGTGGTGAAAGGAAGTGATTGCTTGGGACTCAGCAGAAGAGGGGCTGGAGTGAGAAACCAAGAGATGAGCAGGAAAGAGAGAGGAGAAGGGGGCGGCCTCTGTGGCACCGGACTCACAGCCTCGGGGTCAGCTCAGCTGGGCGACGCCTGCCAGGGGCACACAAAAACTGGGGCAGAGGCACAACCAGCCAGATGCCCTACAGAAGGAAAGGCTTTGTGACCCAAAAGGTTGGAGGATGGCCGCCAGGGGGCGGCCTGAGGGGAGACTGGGGGCCACAGGTAGAGAGGAAGCAGGGTCAAGCGGGCACTCCTTGGCTCAGCCCTGTGCTTCTCTCCACCTACAGGCTGACCTCCGGCTTTTGAGCCAGGCCTCCTGGCCAAGTTGGCAGTGCCCCAGGTGTCCCTGCACATGCAGCACAGGTGCCTGGGGTCTCTGCAGACATCTGGCTACCCCCAGATACCGGAGGCTTCAGATTAGGATGAAGATTAGGGGTCAGGCTGTGGTCCCAGCAGTCGCGAATGACCTTGGAAAAGTCAAGTCCTCTCTTGCTCTCAGTTTCCCCAAGTGCAAAATGGGGCCGATGTTCAGAACAGAGACAGAAATTGATGTGAATGAGCTTTGTAAACAGCAGCTCAGCTTATGTGAAGGGATATTATAACCTCTGAGGATAAGGGATGACAGGGTGGTTGTGGCAGCTAAATTTGGGCAAAGTGGAGGTGTCTGGGAGGGAGCCCCACTCCTCACTGACCTCCCTCTGACCCTGAGGCTCAGGCCCACCCACTAGGACCCCTTCCATCCGCACCCACCCCCCAGAGGGCAAAGATGTCAGGAGTCACCTAAAGAAGACAACTGATACACATGGGAAAGGGCGTGTGTGTGTTGGGGAGGAACACAGGAGGCTGGCGGGAGCGGGAGGAGGTGGGCAGCCACAGAGAGCTCCTCAGCAACTCTGGCCGCCTGTTACCCCCCCTCCCGACCTCTGGCCACCCACTCCTCTCACCTGAGGTGGCTGCGAGGGTGGAGTGCGTGCCTGGCTTGGGAAGGGCAGAAAATATGTGTTCTTTAGTAACAACTCACTGCAGGAATACTGGAGAAGTGAGGGGAGGGTCTGAAGTAGCCTGGGCCTGGCTGGGAGGCAGGACTCCCAGCTGCCCACATCTGCAACCCTGCCTGCCTCCAGCCCACCTTAGGAAGCCAGCTCCGCCCCACCTGGGGGCCTGGGTGGTTCCAGCTGCCTTGTCTCCCAGCAGGAGACCCACCTCTGGGCACTGGCTGTCTGGCCCAGGTGGACCTCTGTGACCTCCAGGGGGAGCCAGGAGGGCAGGCAGGCAGGGCGGGAATGAGGACGGACCAGGGAGAGCTGCCGGGAGAGCTGAGAGTGTCTATGCACTCAGGCCGAGGATGGGATCACTCCAGGGTGCAAGGCTGGCCCCCAGCCTCAGAAGGCCTCAGGCCCACACCTCGGCCGGTTATCTCCTGACAACACTCAGTACTCCCACGAGCCTTCAGAGAAACCAGGCCTGACTCCACTACACATAACAAGCCCCTCCACAGGCAGCGCCCACGGGGCTTCCCACGCTCCCACACCCTCCCTGCCCTCTATCTCCTTCTTCACACCCACTCAGATGCCACCCCAACTTCTCCTGACACCACCCCAGTGCTGGGCCACCTCACACTACCTCTCACCCCCAGTACATAGATGACTATATTTTCTGAGCCCCATGGTTGACCATGGACAGAATGTCTGGGTAGGTACCAGCCAGGACACCTGCACCTGGGCCACACCCCAACCCACTAATACCTGCTCCAAGCAGATGCTCAGATCACCCCCAAGAAAGCAAGGTGAGTTCTGACCCATAGTCACCTGCGGCAGAAGCACAGCCCAAGTCCCTTTGTCACTGGGGGTTTGAGAGGTCCCGCCAGGTGGGAGTGTGCCCAGAGAGGGTTTTGGCTATGAGGGCAAAGGACCACCTGTCTGCTCTGTGGTGCATCTCAAAGTGATTGGGTGGGGGGCTCACTTAGGACCCTCAGGAACCCAGGGTTCAGGATGGTAAGGAGTGTCAGGGAGAATGGCATTCAGTCCCACCACGCTCACAGGCTACAGGGCATTCCTGTTACTCAAACTCAAGCCTCATCTCAGATCCCTCAGGAGATTTGGGGGAAGGGCCCCTGGGAGGTTCCCCCGCTGGCCCTGCTCTTCTTATCCACCCTCATTGAGCATCCCTGGCCTCTCCTTTGGGGGAAGCAGGGAGGTAGAAGCTCCATTTCCCAGCCTTGGGGCCCATAGGTGGGATAAAATTCTCTTCCATCCGACTCACCCCAGCTGTTGTGTGACTGCCAGACTGTCAGCATCACCTGGCCATCCAGCTGCATACAGAGCCCTGGCCCTCACTCCAGCAGTGTCCCTGTGGGGAGGGGCCCTGCAGATATCCGGCAGTCCCTTGTGGGCCACCATTGTTGGGGGTAAAGCCCTTGTAGCCACCATTGTGTGTGATGTCGTGTTCTCCAGTTTCTTAGATAGGGGTTGTCCTATGTTCCTGCAGTCTTCCTCATACCCTCTGGCCTCGCCACCCCCTGCATTTCCATTGCTGTCTTGCCAAATCTTTAGAACCAAACCAAAGGGAATGAGACCTGCAGTGGTCCCAGATCCTCTCTTGGGTCTGGAACCCTCGGGCTTCCCTGATGAGGATCCTGGGGTGTTGGGTGGGGGCCCTGGACTTAAGCTAAGAGGACTGAATAGACCCCATCACTTCCTTCCTTGGGCAGGTTATTTCACTTTTTTCTGAGCCTCAGTTTCCTCCTATGGAAAATGGGGCTAATCACATCTTAACTCACGTGAGGCCCGCCTCAGCGCGCCCGGCACACAGGTGCACTCAGATGTCCTCTCCTCTCGGTCCTCTCATACCACAGGCGCATGAGAGCTGTGTCTGTGGGCTCCAGGTTGTAGCTATTCCCGGATCCTTCACTAACCCTCCCTGCTGATTCTCTGGCTTCTGTGAATTGCAATAGAGACTACTCATAGGGAGGCTGTGACTGGCCTGGCACCATGCCATGTACTTACTGTATCCTTGTGTTTACTCTGAGCTGAAGAGATCAAAGCTTAGGAAAAGTGTTTTGCCTGGTGTTATTAAATGTCTATTAAGGGCAGAGGAAGAATGCTAAGCCAGGGGTCCTGGGCACTAGCCGGCCCTTTCATCCCAGCTGCAAAGTGTGCTTGTTGACCACTGGGCTCTGAGATTCTCTGGAGAAAGCCCAGTTCCCGGTGCTCCCTCCCCAGCCAACCCCAAAGCCTGAGGTGGAGAGTCATGGTTTATTGAGTCGTGGCAATGGTGGGTTGTCTTTAAAAAAAGAAAGAAGCATGAAGGAGAGAGGCCCGACTGGCTGGAAGATGACTCACAGAGGCCAATGTCTGAGGTGGGAAGAGGGGAGCTCGGCACACACAGGGCTTCCTGTGCAGTACTTAGTCAGGCCTGGGGGGCAGAAGCTGCGGGAGCCAGAGAGCCAGCCTCCATTCGGGCTTCCTGCTTGCCGCAGGGTCTGTTCAGTCACTTGGGCTCTGGCCGCACATCTGGCTTGGCAGGGCCACTGAGAGAGGGAAGCAGGTTCCCAGCAATCCTGCCTTGCTCTGCCTGGGGAGGGCTCTACCCTGGGAGGGCTCCTGCTCACCCCTAGGAGCCAGAGGTCCTTGAATGTCTGTCTTGAGCTGAAAAGGCTGGTCTGGCTGATGCTTCTGCCAAAGGGATGTTCCATGGCAGGGGCCTGGGTGTGCTTGTACATCCACAGCTGCAGCAAAGGGGAGGCCCGCTGATCACCAGGTGCAGCTTCTGGCTGACTTGACCTAGCCCCTCAGCCCATGGTCACGAGGGAGATGCAGGAAGAGCCAAGCAAGCTGAGAGGAGCAGGTGGGAGCCTCAGCTCTGGGGCAGGTGGGAGGTGACTCTCAGGGTGGCAGTGGCTGCAGGCTGGACTGGCGAACACACAGCCCACACTGCCAGGGCTGCTGACAGAGCCACAAAGGTGCCTTTGTGCACCCCTAAGGCTGTAAGTGGGCCCCAGATGCCATCCCTCTCAAGCTCCTGGGCTGTCCCCTCATCTTCTGTATTTCTCCCCCAATTCTGTCTCTCTCGCAATGGGGAATAGGACAGTTCTCTCTCCCTGGGACTCCTGCCCCTCATTAAGGAGTCTTAGAGGACAGTTTAGCCTTCTCCAAAGTCATCCTGTCTTTTATGGTTCACTAAGTCAACCTCACAGGGAGTGAGCCGCAGTGCTGGACTTGTGGTTATTTTTCATGTAATAAATAAAGATTCCTTTGTGTGACTCTCTGGGGCCTGTCCCAGACTGAATCCTCCTGTTGCTCAGTCGCTCCCACTGTCCCCATGGCAACTACAGATGGTCAAAGGCCGTGGCGGTGGAGGGCGGCGCGCTCGGCCTTGATGTGGAACTGTAATAATATGGGGAACCTGGACATGGTGAGAAAACAACAACACTGCTGGTCAGAGGGGGAAATTGCACTGCAGCCCCTGCACAGCTAAACTTTAAGACAGGCAAGTTAATCATTTACCCCTCCAGCCTATCTGATCATCAAAGATTAACTCCTCTCAGGCTCTATTTCCTCCTTCTCTGGCTTCACCTTTGAGTTTCTGGCCAGAGTGGGAATGGTGGCTTTTGCCCCTCCCCTGCACAGCTGCTTTGACCTTCAACACCCTCATTTCAGGCAGAGGGCAAGAGAGAGCAGTTGCCTCTGGCACCCCAAAGAACCAAGCACATGGGGGATCACCAGGGACTCCCCAGCCTTGCTCAAATAGCACAAGATCAGGGACTCGCATGGGATTAGAATGGGATGTGGCCAAGGGGGATGTGCCTTTGAGGGCTGCAATGGGGAGGCTCTGCACACCTGTAGGATGCACAGCTCACGAAGGCCCCTGGAGGAGGCGCTCTGAGCCCTGGCATGGCTCAGCACCCTCACCCTTTCTGGCTAAATGAAACAGAAAGATGGCTTGGGGTTGAGCCTATCTGAAAAACAGCATCCAGGTCCACCCCCCTCCCAGTCATTTCTGGAATGCCAGGAGGTCACTGGAGGAGAGGGTTTTGGGGGATGGATGGTCCTGCCAGGTCTGCGATGGTGCCCTCGGGTGGGCCTCATTTGCACCACTGCTTCTCTCTGGCTCAGGTTTGCTCTGAGACACTCAGTTGTCACTCAGGGAGACTCCAGCTGGATTACTCAAGTTCCCCATTTATGAGGCCTGGTTTCCTGAAATGCTTCTCTACCCAGCCCAGGTCCCCAGGGCAAGAAGGGTGAGGAGCAACCCCGCAGCTCTCTCTCTGGACCTCATCCTGCAGGTGGTCCACACCTCAGATCAAGTATCAGCAACATGGGGAACAAAGGATTCTTGTGTGAGGGTTCTGGTGCTGAAGCACAAGTATTTGTGAGCCACTTAGGTGGCTCATATGGGCCATGGGAGGGCGTTCTTTGCAATCTGCATGCTCCCAGGCAGGAGGGCAACATGCACATCTGCAGGACGCCCCTGCCTCTGCTGGACCTTAAGTCCCCAAAGGCAGGAAGTCCACCCTGAGACTATTCTTGAGTCCACCCTTGAGTCCTGAGTCTTACACAAAACAGAGATGCCATAGACAGGCCTTGGGCAGGAGGCAGGAGGAAGAGGCAGGGGCGCCCTTTGCTTCTGCCCATTCCCCAGAAAGAACCAGACACATTGCCTTCCCTCCGCCAGCTTGGGCTTCAATAACCCATCTCTCCAGCCCTCCATCTAACCTGGGCCTCCCAGCTTTTTGAGGGTGTTTGGCCCAGCCTTGCCCCCAAGCCCACCCCACAGAGCAGAGGGCCCAGGGCCTGGGAGTGACTTACTCAGCAAGCTGGAGTTGGGGAAGCGCCAGGCCTCGCTGTAGGAGGAGTAGGGGGTGTGGCCGTAGGCGTTGCCAGAGTATTCACTTCCTGTTGGAGGCATGCAGGTGAGAGGCCTATGAGGTGTCAGGCAGCCATGCAGGGCTGAGGGTAGGGGAGAACAGTTGGGCCTGGCACTGTGGGACAGTGCAGCTGGAGCCACCCTGTGGGAGCCAGAAGGCCCCCATCAAGCCTTGGGGACCCCAGTCTGCATGATTTTGGACAGTGCCCTTCTCCAGGTGCTGGAGGCCCTGCCACCCCAGGCCCATCCCCCACAGGACTCTCAGAGAAAAGAGGCTATTAGGATGCCCGTGTTACAAGGAAGAAACGAAGTCTTGGGATCTGTAGATGCTCATACAACCCAAGGGTTTGGTGGCATCTGGAAGCCATGTGGGACTCTGGGACCCAGGGTCTGACCACTTCCACACTGCCTGGACTTTCTGCAGAAGGGCCTTCCTGGGAGGGGCCAGCGGGAATGGGAGGGGTCACAGAGCAGCCACAGAAGGAATCCTCCAGGATAAACTTTTCCACCACCCTAGGTATGAGTTTCTTAGGGACCTTGTGTGGTGGGTGGGGTTGCTGAGGATTAAGGCAGGCCTCAGGCCCTTGGTTTCTTGGGGGAACCTGTGCCATAGACTTGCTCTGTGAACTTTGCTGGCTGGCCCAGTGCAAGTCTGTCATTTTAAGCAAACCCAGTGCATGCATTTACACAAAGTAAATGCGATCACTTCTTTCCATGAGTGGATTCTTGGCTTTGCCAAAAGAATTATTTACCAGGGAAATTACTACAATGTTGCTTAAGTAACAACAACAAAGGCAAGCAGACCACCACAATTACCGCTGGTACTTGGGACAAAGTTAATGTTTGCAAAGCACTGTCCTGCACGCCGTGGCCTTTATCCTCATGGTCAGCCTATGACGCACTCGTAATTACTGCCAACTGGTAGATGAGGAAATCACTGCAGGGGATTACCCTGTTGGTAAATGGCAGAGCAAAATCTGGTTGTAGGGCTCTTGACTCTAAATTCCAGATAAGCCGTTTATGTGCTCATCGAGAGAGAAAGCCAGGTCCCTGTTCAACCCTGAGGTCCCATGAATGTTCCCACCACCTCTCAGAATCTCATTTGCTGGGAACTAAGTGCCTTCTGTGGCTCCTGGTCTCCTTCCCAGACTCTGGAAGGCGAGCTTAAGACTGCCTGGCTCTGGAGTTGGCCTGCCTGGAGTCAAATCTGTGTTCCCCACTTCCTAGCTGTGTAACCTTGGACAAGTCTCTTAACCTCTCTGAACCCCTTATCTGTAAATGGAGTGAACTATTGTCTCTCTTTCATGGGGTTTTATTGAGGATTAAATTACATGATACACAATAAATGCTCAGCTCTGTGCTTGATATATAAGAAGCAATCAGGAAATGCTACATTTAGTATTTTCCCAACAAGCAGGTGTTAAAATAAAGCTCCATGGAGACTCAAAGCAGTCATTTCCAACCAGGTTTAAAGCCTGGCTTGGGGGTCAGAGAAGCAGGCATTTGCACAGGAGGAGTGGAAACAAGAAGGAGAAGCATGAAGCAGAGGGAGGCTATTGGATCCTTCCTTGTCCAGGGAGTCAGCACTAGTCAGGAACACAGTAAGTTCCCTGGGGCAGGGACTAAGCTGAAAACATCAGACACACAAAATACGTGCAAAGGATGGGAGGGAAAGAGCAAGGAAAAATAAAAGAAAACTAAGAATTCATTTAACCCATTCATTTTACAAATGAAGAAACTGTTCCCCAGAAAGGGTGAGATATCTGCCCAAGGCCACATGTGCAGCAGATCCTGTACTAGAACCCTGGCCCCTTGCTCCAATCCAGTGCTCTTTCTTGTACCCCACAATGTGATTGCCCCATGTACTGCTGGCATATCCCAGAGCTCCCTCTCACAATGCCCTGGAGGAAACTGAGCCTATGTGGACTACACAGCAAGGGCCCCTGAGCTTTACTACAACCCCACCCAGTGCCGGACATTGCCCACTCTAAAGGGCAAAGGAGGGAGCTGGAAAATGCATTGCATTCTGTCACTTATTCATGCATTCACTGGCTCACCTATGCTCAAGTACTGAGTACCTATCTGCTTCACTCACGTGGAAGTTGGGGCAGGGGGCAGGGTGAGGGGGTGATGCACTCCTGGGGGCTGCATCTTCCTCCCTTCCTGCAACCACGGTGGAGAGAATGCCCCTGAGCCCGTGAAAGGCCAACCCATCCTTTACTCTGCATCCACCCTGCTCACCTGTCTGAGGACTTGGCCTCTATAATCGATCCCTTCTCCTCTTTGTTTTGTCAGTCTCTCCTTCCCTAAGTCATCACTCCCTTCGGCCAGCAAAAGCATGCTCTGCTATCTTCTCTTTTAAAACACCTCTTCCTACCTCATAACCAGTCACTAGCCCCTTTCTTGGATCCATGGTCTCTGTCTTCACCTCGTCATTCCCCTCCAGTCAGGCCAGCACTGATCCTCCCAAAACCTCACGCCCTCTACCTTGATCATGTCATGTCTGTTGCTATGTTCACCAGCCCCTCAGCCTCTCAGCTGACTCTGCTGAGCAGGTCTCCTGATCTCCCTATCTGGAGACAGTTCATCACTCTCTCTGAGTCTGTAGATTTCAAGGTGCCCACCCTTGTGGTTTGCTTCCTAAGCCACTGGCCTTTCCTTGCCACTCTCCTGCTGGTTCCTTCTCTGCTAGAAATCTGAATGTTGAAGACCCGCAGGCCCGGGTTTGCCAGCCTTCTGTGCTTTTCCATCCACATTCTCTTTCTAATGATTTTGTCTAACTCCTTGGCATTAAATAATAGCTCAGTACAATGGCTGAAATTTATGCCTTAGTCAAGATTCTTTTCCGACTTTAGACATATATCATGGGCTTACTGGCTTATGAAACCGGGACCTAGGAGGTATCTCGATCCCAGCACAGCCCAATAGGACTGTTGATTCCCACCTGCCACACACTGTACCTCTTCCCTCCCTAGGTCCCCATGGATATACTTGCCACCACCACCCATGCATTTTCCCAAGGCCCAAGCCCAGGAGTCATCCTTGTTTCCTGTTTTTGAACTTCTACAGAGAATGCTCCAGCAGATCGTGTTGGCTCTGCTATCAGAATATATCCTCAGTGGCTCTTTTCCTTCACTGCTGCCTCCTTATCCCAAGCCACTGTCCTGCCTTGCATGAAATATTGCCATTTTCCCTCCCCTAACTGGTCTCTGTGCTTCCCACCTTTGTCTACAATCCATTTTCTCAGCAGCCTGAGTAATCTTAAAGTTTGACTCAGTCACTACCAACATCTCATTTTATAGTGCTTTTCTGCTCACTATTCTTGGATACACTCTCCCTCTTGCTCAATGTGACTCTGCTAAACTAGTTCCTGCCTCAGGGACTTTGCACTTGCTATTCTTTTGGGCTGGGGATGGTCTGCCCCAGTTTGTCACTTGGCTGACCGCTTTGAACACCGTCTTCAGGGAGGCCTTCCCTGATCTCCCAATCTAAAACAGTTATCTCCTCTCCCTGTGACTCTTTATTACATCATCCCATTTTATTATCTTCACTTATCACTATTTGAACTAAGCTCGTTTATTCATTGACTTGTTTACTGTACTCTTTTCTCCACTATTAGGTCATAAGCTCCATGAAGAGAGGGACCTGTCTGTTCACTGCTATATCCCCAGCATCCCATACTGTAGATCCTCAACCAGCATGTGTTAAGTGAAAAAGTGGTGAATGGATGGAAGAGTTCAAGGATGGCTGACAGCGTGGATCATGGAAAGACAGATGACGGAAAGATGGACAGCTGAAATGATGGATGCACGAAAGGAAGGATGGATGGTTGGATGAAGGAAGGATGGATGGACCGATTAAGGGTGGATAGATGGATGGATGATGATGGAAGGAATGAAGGGAGGGAAAAAGAAAGGAAGAAAAGGAAGGAGGAAGGATGGATGGATGATGGAAGAATAGAAGAATGGACGAGAAGATGCATGGATGTACAGAAAATGTGCGTAAAGTTGAATGAACGGAAAGCCAGAGGGATGGATGAATGGATCCATCTATCTGGAGTTGTCAGTGCAGCTCCAGAGCTGGTGAGAGGGTTGTTAACTGTGTTAATGACTCAGGAACAACAGCAACAGTTGGAAGGAAAAGCAGAAGATGAATGAACAAGAGGAGTCTGTGTCTCTGCCCTCTCCCGGTGTCATTCTCCTATTGCTTGTTCCGTTATTTCTGGTAAGGTGGAAGGCAGTGTGGCATAGTAGAGGAGCCCTATACTTGAAGTCAAAAGACCCGTGTTTGAACAAGTCAGCCATTGAGTATGGTCATGATCCTGAACATCACACTCTGCTTTTCTAAGCTTGTTTCCGTATCTATATAAAACTAGGATTGTATAATTTCCTGGTCTCATGGTGAGGATTAAATGAGCAATGAAGTTATATAGATGAATGGCCAGGCACACAGACATCCATAACAAATGAGCTCTTCCTTCCACAATGGGTTGAAGAATGTCATAGGTATGCCTTGCAGTAAGCATTGATTATATACCTAGCACATAGTAGGTACTGAATAAAGATTTATTGATTTTAATGGAAGGAATGTCCATTTGTCAACTGGGAGATTGCAGCTGCTGGTAAGAGATGGACAAATAATTTCTCTACAAAAGAAATTCCTTAAGAATTCATTTGCATGGAGTTCTTAGGAACAAGATGATGCATTTAAATAGTACTGCACTTTCTGAAAACTGATTTGTATGTAACTTATCAGGAGCCCAGGCATCTTGCAAGGCAAGGCCACTCCCTTTTGCAATTCACCTGCCTTTGATGTTATAGTTGTGCTGGTTTTTGCCCAGAACACCCACTCAGGATGAGGTCTTTCTGGAAACCTAGGGCTCTGATGAGAGGCCCAAACCTCTCAGCTCCCTCACAGGCCACACTCTGAGCCCCAGGAACCCCCTGCCCTGTGCCTGCCCCCAAGGAATGATTCATAATTAAGAGAAAAGCCCTGTGCTTCATGTTTCTGCCTCCTCCTCTAAGCAGGCGGCAGGGGAAGGTGGAAGGTTGGAAGGGGGATGGGGGGAGCCGACTGGAGCCTGGGATTTTGATTGAGAGGCCCCATTATCCACACTCTTAAAAAAATAACCGAATCTTTTCCTTTTTTATCTTGACCAATCTCATTTCACGCTCCAGAAGAGGAGGGGAGGGAGGGAGGGAGTCGGGGCCAGGAGGGAGAGAGGAGTCAGTATTCTGTATTTTCAACGCTGCATTAAGCACATCCCCACGGTAACCAGGCAGCAACAAGTGCCAGCTCAGCAGGTTCCCAGGGAGAGCAGAGCCTCCTTCCCTCTCTCACTCTCCCTCCCACCCCTGCCCAGGAGAGCCCAGCCCACCTGCCTTAGTGCAGGGCACCCAGAGTGGGTGGCTGGCAAAGAACAACCCCTGCCATGGAGGGAAGGAAGTAGGCCTGGGTGAATGTGCTGTGTCTGGGGTCAGAGCCAGGGAGGTGTCCAGGGCTGGCATGGGGGTCACAGATGCCCCAATGCAGAGCCCCTTCCAGAACTGCCAGGTCCTCAGGCCTCTCCGGGCAGTGGAAATGACTGTATTCCAGCCAATCATCCTTAAGTCCTTCTTATATGGTTCCTAAAAGAGTAAGACTCACCCTAAGACACTCTCCTGGTTCTCCTCACTTGTCCAGGCCTTGAAACCCTGTGTCACTGTTGGGTGATGATCATATTGGTAGACAAAGAAACCCAATGACTGGCAGACAGGATCCCAGGACAGTTCAAACGATGATGGAAGAATACTTCCAGCTCACCTCACGATAGTACTTGGGAAATGAGTACCTAGAACATGGATCCTGCCTTTGCAGGGGTGAGTGAGGGTGGGTGCAAAGGAGGATATATTTCAACCATCTTCATCATCATCACCAGCCACACCATTCCTATTCAGATTTTACAGGGAGGGTAAACAGATTCATCAGAGCTAAATAATTGGGAGACAATGGGTTGCTCAAGGGCCAGGCTTGTGTTTGGCTTACAGTGTTCCACGGGCCCTTAGGATGCCCCCATCAAGGCTCACCAGATCAACAGAAGAAGTGGGGAGCTAGCCTGTCTCAGAGTCTCCCTTTCCATCATGGTGGGGAGTGTGGGAGCAGGTGGAAAGGGAGCTGAGTTGGGGTGAGTTGAGAAGCCAAGACTGCACTGAAATCTTGTCTGCAGGCATTTTCAAGATGCACCCTTGAGCCCATCCTTCAATGCCCTCTGGGAAGTCTGTGCATGGAGCGTATCCTGCCTCTTGCCCCCTCTTGCTCCACCTTTGGCCAACACTTTGTCTTTGCAATACTCCTCCTCCTGCCCAGTCCCTCCCCTTACCTGCCACCATGCCTGCGATGGCAGAAGAGGCATAGCTGCCCTGTCCACTGGTGGGGATGTGGGGTGGGTATCCAGGCAGCGTGGGCCCCACCATCTCTCGCCCTGGAAAAATACAGCAAGGGTCATCAGTTAGGCCAGAGTGGGCTCCTGTACTCACTGCCTTGCTCCCCTGAGGCTCAGCAAGTCCCATCATGCCAGGCCCACTCTCTAAAGCTGTTCTCCAAACACACTTCTTCCCCCCGTCCTCTGAGCCCACGGTCCTCTCTCTGTCTGGCCTTCTACAGAACAGGCTCCACCTTACAGGGAGCACCTGCTACTGCAGTCCTGTATGATTCCTTGTTCTCCAATGATTTTATTCATGATGAATCTTACTCATCCATAAAAATATCATGGTACCGGCAGGAGCCTTCTAGGTCCTCCTCATCCACCATGGTGTCGGCACAGCAGTGGGCACGGCCGACCTAAGCAGACACCACGGAGGGGCACTGGGCTCAGCTCACAGCCTTTCAGCTCCAGCTCCGAGGAGCACCGAGAGCAAGGCCTTGAGAAGGGATAACAAAGGTGCGGCCTGCTGGCCCATCACTCTCCTCTTCTGGGCCTGTGGCAGACATTGCTGATCAATCACTGCACTCTCTTCCACTGAGCCGGAGACTAGGTCCCTACTCCTCGACCTGGCAGTCCAGGTGGATACAGCCATCAGAGCTGCAAGCGACATGAAATCTGTTGGCTATCGCTGACCTGGAGAGGAGATGTGGGCTGAGATATTTAGTGCTTACACATGACCATGAACCACACATCTGTCAATTCCATTCCTGAAAAAGAAATCCATTTTGAGCAAAACAGACACCTGTCTCTCTCTCTCTCTTTATCTGTAATTTGTGGGTGATGCTGAGACAGCTCTGTAAAGACCTCATTTCCCTGGCTCCACCTCTTCTCTCCCTCAACCCCCCGACTCAGTCAGACCTTCCCTATTTGGAGCCCACCTGGCTGGGTGGGTTTCTTCCCATTTACTCCATGTGCCAACAGCCGCAGCCCTTCCCTCAGGCCCCTTCTCCCATTGCCCCTGTGTTCTGCAGGCCCGATTGGACTCCCCTCACCCAGGGATCCTTAGCAAGGTTTGCCCAGGTCGGTCCTGGTTATGACAACTGTCCCGCTGTATTTATTAATAATTCCACTTCACTTTCAAAGTGCCCCCATTCAAATGATGAGTTATTTTGGCCATTCTAGTTCTTGGTGATGTTTATAAGATTTCTCAGGTTCAGTCTATGGCACTTTGGGCCAGATAGGCCTCTGTGTGGGCTGTACTCAGCATTATAGGGTGTCCAGCATCATCCCTGGTGTCACTCACTGGATTCCAGAAGCAGTTCCTGCCCAATGGGACAATCAGAAATGTCTCCAGATAATGCCATGTGCTACCAGGGGCAACAGCACCCCGGGTGAGAATGACTGCGGTAGGTTGTGACCATTCCACCCGAATGCCTCTGCCTCTTCCACATCGGGGGCTGCTTTTCCTCCCTGTAAGCCCCAGTCAGCCAGCTTCCAAGTCCATGCCTTCTACACGGCTGCTTGCCCACCTGCCCTCCTGTCAGTCCCTAGGAGGTCCTTCATGTTACAGCCGCACCATCACTGCCTCGTGATGATGGACAGGGCGGCACATCCCGTGGAGCCCTATGAGCTGCCGGCTCCTTGCCTCTATTTCTAGAGATTCCCAGAAGACAATCCATTCATTCAACAAATCCTTACTGAATTGGTATGATGTACTAGGCACCCTCCTGAGCACTAGCAGATCAGCAGTAAGCAGGGGTGCTAAATTAGCAAGGCCAAGGGCTGAATCAAGGTGAGACATAGGCTGGGATGGGCATTGGGAGCCAAGTGCAGGGGGTCAATGAACAAGACCGGGCCTACCAGGCTTCTGCCTTCTGGAGGGAAGGGTCTCGGAACCAGAGGGCTTCAGTCCTTACCCTGCTTCTATGACAAATGTTCCAAGTGCCCTTAAACCAGCCACATATATGCTCCAAGCCTCAGTTTCTTTGCACACAAAATGGGAACAAATGAGACTAGCCTTATGTACTTCATTGCCTTGCTATGATGTTGTCAGTGTATTTCAGAGCTATGGTTTCATGCTACAGGTGGACACTGATGAGTGCAAAGGACACCTTTATAGATTGTTATATGTCAAGAGAACCCATAGAGAATAAATCCTATTTGAAATGAGCCATCAGTATTCACTACTTAAAATTCATTTAAAATTGTGTGAATGTTTTGGTAAGAAGGAACACCACCCTCTAATTTGTTTGATGCAATGTCCAGCCATGGTTGGTGCTGGACCAAACAGGGTGGAACCCATGGGGATTCTACAGTTGGGTTCAGTTCACTTGACTCAGATCTAAATAAATGAGGGATTGGAAACACAGGTGAGGAAAAGGGAACTTTAGTGTATTTAGAAGTGGAGGGAGAAATACATAGAAGTTACCCCCAGGTAAAATCTGATCATTCTTCAAGGAAGATTACAGCATGATCAGGTCTCAGACTCAGGCGCTCGGCCCTCAGATGAAGCCTATGGCCAGATGCTGGGGCCCATGCGTGGGAAGGGGCAACACGCAGTCTGTGAGGACAAGACGGGTAGAGGATGACAGGTGGTATGCACAGGAAGGTGAAGGGGAAGGGGCTGGCTAATTCAGGCCTGATGCCTCCTCTCTTTCTCTCCCTCCCTGAGAAAGAGCGCTCTAGATCCAGGCCAGACTGTGGCTGGGGGCCATAGTACTCAGTATCTTTGAATCGTATCTCCTAATCTGTTTTATGAGGAGCTAGGTTAGATTAGAGGCTGAGAACTGGGTGCATCTTATCACTTGATTGATTGCTAGGGGCTTTCTGGAGCCCTGAGTTCAGAAGGATTCTGAGGCTGCATTGGTGCCTTACCATGACTGGGGATGTGGGTGAGGACATACCTATGTGCTGGGTACTCTCCAGGCATCTTCTGGCCCTGGAGCCCTGTGGTGTGTACTCCCCCTGCTCCTGACCTTATCCTGTCCCTTTCCACCACCGTGATCTCTGCAGCTCATGGGTGAGCGCCCAGGCACATGTTCCCCTTAAGCCACAGTTTGATTTAGTCATGGTAGCCCCCATGGCCCCATCCCGTAGAACTAGCCCCCAAATGGTGTTTAGAATTCAGCAGCCTCACTCCCCTGTATTGTGAGATTTTAATCTTTGTCCCCCCTCAGTCCCTGAATTTTCTCCCAGCAGGGCTGAGGCTTCTGAATCAAATGCTGGAGCAGACCCCCGAAGTCTTCCATGAAACTTGGCCCTCCTGGAAAGCCTGGTAAGACTTTGTTCAGGATGGCTCTCACCCAGACCATGGTAAAAAACTCTCCTGTCAATCCCACAGATCTCTGCTTCAAATCCTTAAACACATGGTTGCTTCCAAATGCCAACCTTGTGACCTTCTTAGAACTGAAACCACAGAAACTATGAGGTAGATGCACGCCTTCAGGGCCTAACCATGCCCTATTATCAACTTATTTATTTTTAAGCCTTTCACAGTCATTTATCTTTGACTTGTAATTCCTCTGCACCTAAATATGCTTCCAACACAACCCTATTTTAAGAAGCTGACACATGTCCAGGTCCATGTTAATGGGCTGCAGAGTGGGGTTCAATGAGAAAACAGTAGCATCCCAGAAATATTAGTAAATATTGCAAATATTCGTAGAGACCAGGATCAAAAACCATGACTTGGAGGAATTCAGAGGGTAGAGGTGATTTCAGACAATTTTATTTGTCCCCCTTTGATGTCTGCCCTCTAAGTGACCCCTTTTCAATTCCTTATCTTGTTCTGATAGCAAGGAAAATTTATAGCAATCCAGAAATCTCTTTGGCAGGACTGAATATAATTTTGCACAAAAGGATGGAGGTGGGTGACAACCCCTTTGATGATAAAACCAAACTCAGAGCTTTCTGGTCAGCTGAATGGGCGCCATCCTGGAACAGCCAGGACAGGGGTGGCCCAGGATCACCTTGATCAGTACCGGGACCTTGGACTGGGGCATCTGAAGGGAAGCAGCAGGCATGTTGGGGGCAATCTTACTGTTCCCCACACCCTGATGTTTCTTCTTTCTTGGCTGATTAGGGAGAAGCCGAGACCCAGGACAGTCACCCTGGAAACTGCACTATCAGAGTCCCTGGGCTGGAAGAGGAGGTGGGAGACAGCAGGAGACTGCGAGGCAGGCAGAGGTTTCTCAGGAGGCAGCAGGGGATCCTTCATGGACCCGCCCCCTCTTCTCCTGGCTGCAGAATTACCCAGGAATAATTTAGTCTCTCAAACTCACTTCCTCCCCTGGCTAGGTTTCCAGCTCCCCAGGCCCTCGAGGTCCTTCTCCCTCTCATTTTCCTCCCCCCCGCAGTGTCCTCCCAGCCTGCTGTCTGTGGCTCTGCCGCATTGCAGACATTAAGCCTGAACTTGGCCAGGGCTGCAGGGGGTCAGTCTTCAAGAGGCCCAGGCCAACACTCTGGGCTCCGCACAGGTACCAGCCATCCTGTGCCTTGTGCCCAAGCCACAGGGCTGGCCTGGCTCTGTGAACTGCAGCCCTGACTTTCTTCCTGCTCTTGGAAACCTGCCTGGATCCAGCCCCTCCAAGCCGGGTACTCCTTGCTTTTCTTGAGTCCCTGCCTCTGGGCTGCATCTTCAGCCCTTGGGCTGCACCCTGGGCCCTGTAGGTGGCCATCTGCCCTCACATCCTGCACATCAGCCTCAGCTGGGCCTGGCTCTGGGGGCCACCTGCCTGAAGGGCACACTGATGTTATGTATTTACTGCTGTCCACATGACCACCTGTGCCTACTGCCAGCTGCCAGCTGCTTTGCCCCATGGGGTGGATGACCACCACCCACCCCCACCATGGTCTGGAGGGTGGGCATGGCCACTATACTAAGAGCTGATACAAGTTGGAAGCGTCACCCCTAGTTTGATTGCATGTTGACAGTGAAGGGAGAAAGTGTGGGAGTCTGGGGCAGGGATTTTCCCTGGGGCTTTTCCACCTACACTTCCTAAGACTACCCCAAGCAGTGCTCTGCTATCCCCTTCCCACAGCCATCTATCCTCCCCTCTGCACTCAGCGGCTCCTACCAGCCTCTCCGGCTCATGCAGTAACTGAGGAATGGCTCCCTTCACACACCTCATCCACACCCTCGGCCCTTACCTGTCCCATGGCGGCCCTCCTGGCCCAGGCCTGCTATTCACAGGAGGCAGGCTGGCAGCCTGGCAGGCTCCCCAGGGCCCCACACTGGAGGTGAGTCTTTTCTATCCTATCCTCCCCTCATCTCCTATTTTCTCTGTCTGACATCACTACACTCAGCTCATGGAGTTTTCCCCCTTAGTCACACTGGTCAAAACAAATGACCCATCTCCACTGACTTCACCCTCTTCTGAAATTTTGAACTCTGAGTCAACATTTTCTTCCTTGTTTCAGACCCTTAAGCAAGGCCTCTCTGCCCACACACTTGGGCTTCCTTTATTAACCCTTTACCTCTGCACCCACCTCTTCCAAGAGGGTCTCCCACACTAGATGTGGGGATGCACAGAGAAAAAACATCCAGATGCCAGTCAGACAGAAAACACAGGGTCAGTTATAAGAAAGGGTCAGTGGATGCGAATATGATGAAGCTGTGGCCCCTCGGGGCGGGCAGGGGTCTTGCTTCTCTGGTTAGAGTGGTTTTCAAGTCCAAGTACTTTCAGCAGGCAGAGCCCCCATTCTACACAGAGTGGCTCTTCATTTGTGTGCTTTAGATACTTGGGTTCCTTGGTAAAAGTTTTCATTTCAAGATTGTGTTTCAAGGCCCAACAGAGTTGAAAACCACTGGCACAGAAGATTACCTGCCCACTTCTGGCTTCCTCCATGGGTCCTGGTTCAATGCCTTGGGCCCACAGCTAAGAGTCTCATCTCTGTGGAAGCCCTTCAGATATCTGGGGGCTGTTATGGGTCTCTGCCCCGCACACCCTTACTCCACCTCAGGCTTCCTCCTGCCCAAGCCAAACACCCTCAGCTCTTTCAGCTGCTGTTCAGGCCCTGGGCTAATGTCCTTCTGCCAGGGAGACCCAGCTTTGCCAAGGTCCAAACCACAGGCCACCCGCTCTCAGCCGGCCAGAGGGCAGGAGCCCATTAGAGACCCCCACCAGGCCCTACTCCTAGGGCCTGTCTCATCAGTCAAAGGGAAGATTTACTCTAGATGCCCCAAGGCGCTTGCAGCTCTGAATGTTTGGAGGCTGATGAGGTCCCTGATGGGAGGCCCCCTCAAGCCCCTGTCTCTCAAGTCAATCTGCCTGAGTGACCTCCAAGGGTGACTCTGTTAAGCTGGAGGAGAGCTGCACTGTGAAGACCCAGCTGGGACTGACCCTCTGTCTTTTTAGAAATTTGATCCAGAAATTGGCTATGAAAGCCAATTACTTTTTCCCTCCAAAGTTTTCTTTTTCCCTTATTTTTTATTTTTTACCCAGACCAAGGGTTCCTGCTTTACCTGGCTCCTAGCCTTAGAGTCCCTGCTCTTCCATGGGGCCTTGGGCAAGGTTCTGGAAATCTGCCTGGCACCCCATTTCCTGGTACTCCCAGAGTGCCTGCCTTTCCCATGGCATGACTTCGTGGACATGAGATCCGACTCCAGGCATCTCCAAAAGCTACCAGAGGATTTAGGGCCTCTGACGATGGCTGGAAGGGCTGGGGGCCAGAGAGGGGCCTGGACCCAGACCAGGGGGCTGGCACCTGCCCTGGGGACCCCCCACCCGCACCCACGATAGCTGCACGCCAGGGACCTCCCTGTCATACCTGAGAGGAGGGCCTGGCCCGTGAACTGCCCGTACACGGAGGCAGCATGGGGAAAGGCATTGAAGGGTGGGACCGAGGCACCTGCTGGGACCCCGGAGGCGACTTGCTGCAGATCCAAAAAGGCGGAGCTAGATAAAGAGGAAGGGGTGGAGCTAGAACTGGACACCTCGGGGGTTTCCTGCTTTATGGCGAAGGGTGAATGAGGATCTGCCGGAGGGAGGGAGACAACAAGGAGAGAGGGGTGTGAGATGAGGGGGAGGGAACATGCACAAGTCAAGCCATGAGAGGTGGGGACGGGTGGGGAGTGCTGGGCCGGGCGGCTCCTCTCTGAGTCTGGAGGTGAGGTAGGAGGGTTCTGTGGTGCCCCTCAGGTTGAGTGAGGCAGGGAGAGAACTCTATTTCCCTGCTGTGTCTCTGCCAATGTAGACTGTGTATGCCCGCCACACCCCAGGTCCCACAGTCAGGAGCAAGGAGGCAAGGGGCTGAGGGTAGAAGGGAGGACTTTCTTGGCCCACCTGGAGGCCCAGCCAGTGCCACTTGCCTCTCCTCTCCAGGCCCAGGGCCCTGGCACCCTCCTTTCCAGGGCCAACCATGCCCTGCCTTGCCCTGCCCTCCAGCCCATCCCCCAGCTGGGGCCACATGGCCCAGGAGAGTCCCAGCATCGTACCTGCCACCCCGGGGTAGGGCTGATGAGTTGAGAGGTTGCGCCCCAAGGGTGTACTGGAAGGGGTCAGGGTGGTCTTCCCGTCGTCCAGGGCACTGTTGAGCAAGGGCAGCGGGTAGAGGCCCTGGGGAGCAAAGAGGAGTCAGTGTGCTGGGGACATGTCCAGGGGCCTAACTAGAACCCTGCTGCAGCTCTTGGAGCTTTGCAGCCCAGTCAGCCCAGGACCCCAGGACACACTCCCTTCCTCAGAGCCCCCTTCTTGACTCTACTTCGTGTTCAGTAGGTTCTTATTCTCTGACTCACAGCCTCTCTGTCCTCCCAGGTGCTCCAAGCTTCCCTGTCAGCAGCCTCGGAATTCAAAGCTGGCTGGTGCTGTGCAAGCCAGGCACAATGGAGTGCCTTCTTACAAGGACCATGCCCAGTGCATGGCTGGTCCCCTGCCTTGTCTCCCCGCATGGTCTGCACCCCAGACAACCAGATTGCAGGGTTGGGGCAGGTGGCTCACGGGACTGATGAGAGTGCTGCACTCGATTTATGAATGTAGTCCTCTCCAAATAGGAAACATGGCACAAAGAAGTCAAGAAACTCGTTACTCTCCCATATGGGGCAGAGCCAGATTTCAAACCCAAAGACCCCAGCTCCAGTGTGCCTGCTCCCAGCTGCTGCCTTGAATTGGGTAACGTCATGACTGCTTCTTATATTTGCAAAGGGGTACATTAGAGCTTTGCCTATGTTCCCTGATCCATCACCCTCAACAGCCAGTGACATGGGTGAGCAATACTATGTCTTCTGTGTGGAAGCCTGTGGCCAGAGCAGTAAATGTCCCAGGTATGCATAAAAAAGGGACCAAACTGAGGACATCTGCTCAGACCTAGCCGCTCTCTCCTTCAGCAAAGTGGCAGCTGGGACATTCCACCAGGTCAAGTAGATTCCTCCCCCTGTCTCTCCATAGCCAAGCAAATATAAACATGTGGGTTCAGCTTGAAGATGACACTTGGGGTTAACTTTGTTTAAAAAAATTCTTCATCGAGTACCTGAGGGTTTGCTTCATTAAGACCTCATTTGAGTCTCCACCTGGCCTTCCCTGACTGAGCAGGCTGTCTCCCGGGGCACTCCCTCCAAAAAGAGCTTGCTCAATTCAACACAAGCATGCACCAGCCTCGCAGTGACTCCCTTCCACCAGGGGATGAGACAGCACACACAAATACACACCTGTTCCCCACATGTGGGTCACACACGTCACAAATGTACTATGGGAGATGGTGTGCGAGACTGAAATCAAGGAGTGCCTTGCGGTTGCATAACAGCTCCACTAAAGGCAATTGTTTTCAATGATTTCCATCAAGCTGGTTCTCCAAGGAGCCACAACACTTTCCGGTGCATGCCAGGCACTTTTGGAAGCTGCAGTCAATTCTAGAGGCCACCAGGGCACCATTACTGTGTAGCAGCAATTACTAGCTAAATGGTGCTCTGGTTCCATGCCTTCTGAGGGGGCCTGCTTCAAGGCAGGGTGGAGTTAAGTGAGGCAGGAGAGCCTGGCTTAATGAAATTGAACAGAATACCTCATTTCTAGAGAGTGAAAGAAAAGTTTAAAATGCTTTATGGATATGTTGATTTGATAACAAATAGCTACTCAAAATCCTCTAGCTTTCCAAAATCCAGGCAATTTAGCAAAAAACAAAAATGAAACAAAAAATACCCCCAAACTTATACAGTCAGACATGTTAGTGAAATTGTACAAGTGGCTTAAACATCCCAGTGATGACTGGATTCCTTACTGGGATTGAACTTGAATAGGGGTACAGAGTGGCACATGCTTTAGAACTACTTGGGCGAGTTTGAACCCTGGCTCTGCAATGACTGGTCAAGTAGCTTTGGTCTCCCTGACCTCTGTGAGCCTTGCTTTTATCCCTGTATAAAAGGGACAATAAAATCTGCTTCAAATGCAGATGTAAGGATTAAATGAGATTTCATATACATATATTAAAAACAGTATAGAATACTTGGTAACACATGCTCAATGAGTAGTCATCATGAATGTCCTTATTTCACAAGTACTGAAGACCCACACCTGCCACATTCTTGGTCTCTGTCATAATATTTACATTCTGTGATTTGCTTCTTGCTGTACTTACAAAACACAGAAACAAGACCTGTGTAGCCTCTTACCTAAACCTGGTGGTGAAATAGCAACCAGAAAGGAGACCACCTGGCATTTCTGTTGAATGCTTCCCCCTTGTTGATTTTTCAGAAAACACGGCTATGTCTTGCCCTACTGAGGTCAAGTGTGAGGACCTGTTGCCCCCCGTGCCCAGGGGGACAGAGCACAGAGGTCCCTTGGCTGTGCTGTTAGAGCCAAGGCAGGCAAGGCTTGGACCTAGAAGTCCTCGCCCCCTCCAGGCTCTCCCTGCCCCTCGCCACCAAAAACCAGGTGAATGGGGCAGGCAGATGCTGGCTGAGGAGGCGGATGATCACTGATGGGCACTGTGAACTTTGGTCTCCTCATCTGCAGGATGAGGGGGTGGAGCAATTTCACGGTTTTCAAACTTTTTCAGTCTTCAAATAAGAACTCACAGAGAAGCACCATATCGAAAATAGGCAACAGTGGGTCCATCTGAGTGAAACCATGGCTGGCAGGCCTGGGCTGCCCACCTATTTGCTACCCAAGCCCTCTGTACCCATTCTGGCCCAGCTAACTCCACAGAAGTGGAAAGACTGGGCTTGTGTCCCTGAGGTCCCTCCAGCTCTCAGACTCTCATTCCATGATTCCCGCTTGGTGCAGGGTCTCCTTGTCATTAAGCAAAGGTCCCTTGGGCAGCTCAGATGGTGCTGGGAAATGGCTCTGTGACACAGTGAGTGTCCTGATCTCAGCAGCGGGTTATTGTTTTAGTCTTCCAGGACAGCTGGGGCTTGCACACACAGGCTTGTGCAGGCTCCTTCTCACAGAGCAGACACCCTGCAGGTTCCCTAGTGTGCCCCCTCTCCCTCCAGGGGCCATGCGCTGACGCTGATGAACACCCAGCCCTGTCCTCAGGCCTGCTGATGGCCAGCTTTCTCGGCACCCCCTCCTGGTTGCCACAGCCCAGGCTGATAAAATCGCTGACGCAGGCTGCCCGCTCAGCTGCGGTGCTGGCACCGGCCCAGAGGCCCAGACGGTCCCTGGCACTGATCCAGCTGATTATTGGCATCATCACCATTGTCCTACTCGGATTTCAAGGTGTAGGGGCTTGCCTTGCCCCTGGATCAAATGACAGCGTGAGCAAAGAGGCACAAAGACACCACCTTGAAGCTGTTGAAACTCTTTAGCTGTTGGCCTGGTGTGGTGAGGGACGAAGGCACCGTGAACACTGGCAGAGAGCAATGAGCCCAGGGGTCAGCAGCCCCGGGAGATCTCAGAGCCTTTGAGGCTTTGCTGGGCTCAGGGAGATCTCTGAGCTCTCTGCCAGCCGATCACAGACGCCAACCCATTACAAACCACTTCACCTATCCTGAGCCCTGGAGATAAAAATTCCCCTGTAGTTTGTAATTCATGGGCCTGGATTTCTCAACGCCTCTACTCAATACACCTTTCTTGAGTATCTTATCAAGGGAGTGACCCATGCTGGGTGCTGGAATTAAAAAGATGCTTCAAGATGCTGCCCTGCCCTGAAGAAATCGCTGTGTCTTTACACCTCTGTCCCCGGGACAATTATGATGCACTATGTGAAGTTTCAGGAGCGCCACTTCAGAGGTACTGACTAGGGAGAGGTGAAGCATGCTGCAGGGGCAGGGACAGATTCACAGAAGGGCTGATGCCTGAACTGAGACACAGTGGCCGACTGGTATTTTTCCAGGCAGAGAACTGGGAGGAAAGGCATTCTGCGTGGAGGGCACACAGGGTGCCAACGCAGAGAGCTGTGAATGCCAGTGGCATAATTCCCCTGTAGTTTGTAATTCATGGGCCTGGATTTCTCAACGCCTCTACTCAATACACCTTTCTTGAGTATCTATCAAGGGAGTGACCCATGCTGGGTGCTGGAATTAAAAAGATGCTTCAAGATGCTGCCCTGCCCTGAAGAAATCGCTGTGTCTTTACACCTCTGTCCCCGGGACAATTATGATGCACTATGTGAAGTTTCAGGAGCGCCACTTCAGAGGTACTGACTAGGGAGAGGTGAAGCATGCTGCAGGGGCAGGGACAGATTCACAGAAGGGCTGATGCCTGAACTGAGACACAGTGGCCGACTGGTATTTTTCCAGGCAGAGAACTGGGAGGAAAGGCATTCTGCGTGGAGGGCACACAGGGTGCCAACGCAGAGAGCTGTGAATGCCAGTGGCAATGCTAGGGGCATGAGTAATGCACGAGTATGGGGTGAGCAGGTGTGAGTGGCCCAAGGTGGGCGGAAGTGCCAGCTGCGACCACACCATAAAGGCGAGGGGCTGGGAGGGGAAGGAGGCAGATGCCAGCATCTGGTGAAATAAGTGGCTTGGAGCTGCATGAGGCACGCCCTGAGTCCACTGAGGCAACTTCCCGTTGCTCTGGGGGTAGGACAGCAGCCTGACAGGAATCTGTCAGGGACCACACCATGCTCTGGCCGGCCGCTGCAGATTCTGCCAGGCCTGGCTTCTCACCTGCTCGCCTTTGGTGTGGCCGGGGGAGGCGTGGGCCTCCTGGTAGTGCTGCCCAAAGGGGCACTCGAGTGGCTCCAGGTGGTGCTGGCTGAAGGCGTCTGTGCGAAGGTGCTTGCGGGGCCCACCGCTGCCCTGGGAGTCGATGCTCAGCCGGCAGCTCTCCTGGTCACCTGGTGTCCCCAGGCAGGGAGAAAACTTTCAGGGGATCCATGGGTCCACCTCTCAGGCCAGTGTGCAGGGGCAGCCTCAAGCAGGAGGCAGGGACGAGTCCAGGCTCCGGGGCCTCGGGCTGTGGCCGGCTTAGAGGTAGGCCATGCAGGCAGGGAGTCGCCGAGTGCCCAGGTGGCTTGGGCCAGAAATGGGGGCTTCTGTTCCCATCAGAGCCTGAGCCAGCTGCCCTTCCATACCTCCAACCTGCCCTCTGGTCCCCCGACACTCACTGTCATCCATCTTCCTCTTGCCATCGCCAGCAGGCTGAGCGATCCCCAGGAGCCCATTGATGGAGTAGGTGGAGCCCAGAGAATCCGACTGGGGTGACTCTGGGGGTGTCACGGCTGAGCTGGGGACTGCAGTGGGATGAGAGGGAGGGGGTCAGGGCGCAGTAAGGACAAACCCTCCTCCCCCGGGAAGCCTGGGTCTGCTGGGGGAGGGATTTCTGGAGGCACGGCTGCCTGTTTCCACCCCTCAGTACTTCAGGGGACCTTCCCTGGGAACCCACAAGGCTTTACCACAGTGGAAGGGCTCAGGTCACACACATGGGTGTGTCTGCAAGGGTGTTTGCATGTGCCTGTGCCTACACAGATGAGCATGTGTGTGCAAGGGGGCAAGGGGTCTGTGACCCCTTAGCACTCACTAAGTGTGTGTCCTGGGCTCAGGGATTTGGTGGCCACACAGCTGTCCATGGGGAGGTTGAATGGTTGCTGCACTTTGGTCCTAATGATTCTGTAAGAAAGAGAAGAAAAGCCTTAGCAAGCGAGGAAGCAGGATTGGCAGCTGCCCCACATCCAGTAGCTGTTTGGAGGTCCCACTTGGGTGTCTCAAAGGCACCTTCAATGCAAGGTGTCCACAGTCAAAACCCACAACCTTAAATCCATGCCCTTACTCCTCATACCAGCCCTTCCCAGTCACTCAAGGCAGAAATACAGGTGCCTCCATCTGCCTCCCTCTCTCCTCTCTCAGACTCTTTGTCAGTTTTGTGGCTTTGACCTGTGGACTTCTCCAGTGTTGATCCCTGTCTTCACATCCCTGCCAGTAACTTAGTATGTACCGCTGCCAATTTGCTCACTCCAGGGTCACCCACTGACTCACCCCTACCTGTTCTAGACCCTTTCTGCTCCCACTGCATCTAGAGTGGACTTGCTGAAATGCAGGTCAGTCTCTGGCTTAAAATCAGCCAAGGTTCTTCCCATTTTTTATAGGCCAGAAGGAAGAATAGGTAACACGGCCACCAGGCTCCCAAGGCAGCCATGCTCTTCTCTATTTATTGCCTTACCTTCAACTTCTTGTATACAGTGCTATTAGCCACAAGACCTTTGCATGTGTGGTCTCAGAGCTCTTTTTGCTCCTCCTTTCATCTAGTTAGCTCTATTCATTGTTTCTTACTTGGGGGCATCTTTTCATACCCTCCCTAAACCAAGTCACCCACTGCTAGCTCACATTCCCTCCTCCTTAGCAGGACTTAGAGCTGCATTTTTACAATGTTTGTATGGCACTCAATTAGTGTCTGTCTTCCCACTGGATCGTAAGCTCCACAGGGAAAAGGACTCTGTGTCCCCAGGGCCTAGTGCCTAATGGATGAATCATGTATGAATGAGTGAGTGAGTAAATGATTGATCAAGGTAGCTGTGAATAATTGAATGACTAAACAAATGAGCGAATGTGCTTGAATGGGGGCCAGTGAGGGGTTGTGTGTCTCAGAAAAGGATCAATTCAAGAAGATTCTTTTATTGAATGAAAGAGAATGTCGTGTGTGAGGAAGGAGCGGGCAGAATGAAGAGCCCACACTCCAGGGCGGGGTGGATGTGGGCAGCAGGGAGGAGGCAGGGCGGCCTGGTGGCTTCCGGCTGGTTCTCCAGCAGGTGGCCCTCCCAGGCTGTGCTCCGCCCATGCCAGGCACTCCTTCAGTCCTGCCTGACCCCAAGCCCAGGTGCCCTGCCCCCACTGTCATCTGTCTCACCTGTTGATGGAGCTGACACTGGGCACAGTGTCGTTGTCACAGACGCCCTCGGCCAGGAGCCGGTCTCGGATCTCCCAGGCAAACATGGTAGGGTTCTGCCGCTTGTAGTCTCCAATCTTCTCCACCACCTTGGGGGTGGCTACCTTGGGCTTGGAGCCCCCTATCACTCCAGGTCGGATGCTACCAGTCTCGTAGTACCTACTCCAATAGAGAACCCCAAAGAATTACCCAATAAGCAGGTGGAGACTTTGGGCAGGGACTTAGACAGAGACTCTTGTTCCCCTCTGAGGGAGAGGCCTAGGCGTTCAAATGGGCCTCCGATGCTGGCCTCAACACCTGATGTGCCCAGTATTGGCCTTTCCCCTGGCATCTGTAGGTTTCTGTAGCTGCCAAACCAGAACCCTCTGCTAAAGGCCTCACTGTGGGACACCAAACTTCCTCTCCTTTCCTCCCCTCTGGCCAATCTCCTGCATCTGAGCACCTGCAGGAACAGCCCTCTGGGACACAGATTCCCCTCTCGAGAAAGGAAAATTTGACACACATGCTTGGTGTGTACACATGGTTTACAGAGGCGGTTTTCCAGGCCAGCTTCTTGGCTAAAGCTCGGCTCTGTGCTCTCTGGCCATCCGGGCCTTCTGGCCCTCTGCGCTCATGCTGGTCCATATTTGCTCCCCATTCCTTTCCCCTGACTGTCCCACCACTGGTTTTCTACCAGTGGTTCAGGTGGAAGCTGTGCCTCATGGGCCTGGGTCCTTCGCCACATCCAGGTCCTTAAGCCTCCCCTCCCCTCCCAGGCTCCCTGCTCCATCTCCCTCCAGCCCCCAGCGAGCTACTTGGCAGATCAATGACCTATGTCAGCATAGGCTCCCCTCTGGGTTGTGGAATCACTCTGGTCTCTTCTGCTGTGAAATATAATCTGGCCCTTACAACTCCACGTGTTGTCCCAGCCATTCAGGGCTCATGTCCTCGCTGGGGCACTTGCAACCTGTCTTGGGAACCCCTCTCCTGAGCCCAGCCAGGAGCAACTCCAGTCAGGAACCAGGGCTTTCCGCAGCTCAGTTACTGTTCAGGCCCCTTTGTCCCTCTGACCAGAACTCCTCTTGACTCCTTGTAAGGATTGAGTGAGGGAGACAGGTACACCGGGCTGATGCAGAGCCACCCAGCCAGGGGCCTTGGACAGGCTGGATATGCAGCTATGTCAGCCCAGAAGCAAGACTTTGCTGTTCCTGGGCCCTCCTCAACCTCTGGCTCAGTGTTTCTCACCTCTGGCTGCAGAAATTAGAATACTTGAGGGGGCCTTGAACCTATAACCGTAACATGGGCCCCATCCCCTAAAGTTCTACTTTAATTGGTGTGGGCTGGGGCCTAGATACTGAATTTTTTAAATGAACTTTTCCCAGGTGATTTGAACAGGCAGCCAGGGCTACAAACCACTGCTCTGGGCTTAGTGTTCAGAAGTGTCACTTGGTCATCTCATGGACCTCACAGCATGCAGCTCTGGCTCCCTGAGAAGCAGATCCTGTGGGTCTAGGCTGGGGATTGGGGACCCACATTTCATCCAGCAACCCTGGAGCTTCTGCTGCAGGAGTTGCGGCTTGAGAAGCACAAACTCAGATGACCCTCATGCAGAGATACGTGGGTGAGGCCTCAGGAGCCACCTCGATGACATGGCCCCTCCCTACCAACTCCATTTCCCTTAGTCTCGGCAGGGGAAGGCCTTTGGGGAAGATTCTCCTGCTGTAGGAGCAGAGAAGCCCATAGAAAATGAGACATGGGGCAAAAGAGAACTAGAGGGAGAGAGAAAAAGACAAAGGAGAAGAGCAGAAGAGCAGGGGTGGGGGAGGCTCAGAACCACCATCACCCGGGACCAAAGCTGGACAGTGGGTGGAGGGTGGCTGCAAGATGGGCAGGTGAGCTCTGCAGGAATTGGCTATGGGGTGAATTTCGTGCTTACCTGCCAAGGATCTTGCTGACACAGCCATGGCTGACACGGAGCTGGCGGGAGATGTCGCAGGGCCTCACACCCTGGTGGGCCAGGTCCACAATGCGCTGGCGCACCACTTCAGGCAGAGGCCTGCCATTCACAAAGGCCCCTCCTAGCTGGTTCAGCCCTCCATGGCCTAAGAAGACAATAGTCCCGGGGACAGAAGTCAGGGCCAGGGAGGGTGGTTGGGTGGGAATTGGCCCAGAGGGAGGGCACCGGATGTGTGAGAGACTGCAGGCACGAGCCCATTTCAAACCCTCTGTGCTCCTGCTGTACCCACTCCTGCTCTCTGCCTCTGAGGATGGCCAGCTGTTGTTGGGGAGGGTGGTGTATGATGCCACAGAGGGCACATGGCCCCTGGGGGCTTTCTGGGCCTGCTCAGTCTCCTCTCAGACCCTCAAGTTTCATTCCAAATAACAGCCCACCACCTGCTTCCCACCTTTGGAAAAGTAGATAAATAATTGACAATTCGGGGTCTCCCTAACATGACACAGAGCTGTGTGGCCTTGGGGAAGCCCCTCCTCTCTCTGAGTCTCCTTTCCTCATCTGTACAAGAGTAGAGGACTAAATCAGTGGTCTGTTTCTCTTTCTTCCTTTTAACCATAGAATCAGATTTTTTAAGCACAATTATGTTAAGAAGCACAAATACAAAAGAATTAAAACAGAGCTGGTTAAGCTGGGGCCCGAGCCATCTGTGACTCCTGCCTGAATGACCCCTGTGAATTTTTCTCTAACAGGCCATAGCACTGAGAGAGCACTAACAGGCTGGCAGACCTCCCTGGCACACATTCCCATTCCGGGGAGTCCAGGACTGGCGTGTTGGCTATAGGCAATTGTGCAGAACATGGACATGCTGTGGATATGCAAGTATGTTTCCTTAGCTGCCTTCCTGACTTGGCCTTTGCCCTCTGCCCCCAGCTCATGTTTCATTCTGAGCCCATCTACCTAGTCAAATGCATTTATTAAGTGCCTTCTCTCTGCCTGACAACATACTAGGCCCCATGGCTGCCGAGGTGAATAAGGCAGAGGGAAATCCCTGCTTTTTCCTCATGGGGTTTAGAGCAAGAGGTCCAGACCAGCAGATAGCCAATTACCATATGCCATGTGACCACTGCTAGGATGGGTGACATGCAGAGGGTTGTGAGAATCACTGTAAGGCACCAAGCCCAGGCTCAGGGGACCATAAAAGGGTTCCTGGAGAAGTCTAAGCTGAGGCTGAAGATAAAGACATGTTAGCTAAGTGAAGGAAAGAAGAGAAAAAACTGTTCCAGGCAGTGGGAACAGCATGTGCAAAGGCTTGGAAGCAAGAAGGTGCTTCTCTGTTAGATCTACTAACATGCTCAGCTCTCTAAAGTCTCTGAATCCAGGGTGACCTAATTTCAGGGCTGATATCTCCCTTTGCCAATGAAGAGACTGGGGCTTAGAAAATTTTAGTGACTTGATTTGTATGGGCTGTGACTTAGCTTGTACGAGGAAAATCCAGAATCTAACCAAGGATTAAGGCTCCTGTCTGTGCTGCTCCCTGGGGTGAGCCCTTTTTGATGGTCAGAACTGATCCTGGAAGCCTGGTGCTGGCTCTGTCATCATACACTGAAGGTTCCGTGGTGCAGGCATGAAGGACATCTTCCCACACCAGGGGCATGATTTGGTGATCTGGCAGGGATGGTAGAGACCCGGGGGTGGGAGTCAGTGGAAGCGGGCAGGCAAGGAGGAAGAGCTGATGCCAGGCTTTCTGTGTGAGCCCATTAAGGACTATTTATGGTTGAGGATGGGAAGTGCCTCTGCTGGGCACACAGTGCCCGTTACCGCCCACTGATTAGCACATTCAAAGCTGCCTTGCAATGTCTNTAAAAAAAAAAAAAAAAAAGAGGCTATAAGCCTCTGGCCTGGGCACTAAGTCAGGAGGAAAATCCCTCTGGTCAAACACCCAGCGGAAGGGACACGGTGCTCCGTCTGCCTGGTGGAGGCAATAGGGTTAGCTTGGGCACAATTTCTCCTGTCCTGTCCTAGGCAACACGTCCGAGCGAGTGCTTTTCCACCAGGTTGGGGCAACCCCTGGATGGGTGGCGGAGGGGCCCAGGCCCACTCCTGAACTTATTCTGCTGGCTTCTCACTGGCCACACGCCATCCTTGGAGATGGCTTAGCCACCTGACCCTCCTTCTGTCCTTGAGGCCTTTCAGCTCTTTTGGGTCCAGACACTGAACACAAGAGGGAGCCAGACAGCCATTCAACTCAGGTACCCCGTGCAGCCTAGTTTTGTCCCCATTTTCCAGAACTTAGAGTGCCATGTCATCATGACCCCAGGGTTTAGGTGTTTGGGACCTAAATGTCTGGAAGCAAGGTTTCCTACAGGTGGAGTTCTTCACCCCTGGAAAGGTAGCAACTTAAAAAAATAAACATCATTTTTGGGTGGCATGAATTAGGTATTGCGCCTTTGAAAAAATCTGCCCTTACTCCATGGACACTGTGTAGGCTATTGTCTGAGTAACTTTGTGTTACTGTGCAAAGCACGTTGGGCCAGACTCCTGCATTGACTGCCCACTTTAATTTTATCATCTGAGAAAACTGGAGTTGTTTTCTTCCCCAAACTTAGTGTTTTCATGCATTGAATGGAGCTAACAAAACGTTTTGCTTTGTCTGCTGCTGATTTTTAACAACTGCTATCAGATGGGGGAATGAGGATGAGGAAGTGTGTGGCTAGCTGAAAATCTTGATATAAGTGTCAAGTTTTCCTAATTTTTTATATTTACATGGCTGTGTATTATGGCCCAAGCTTGGCTGGAGGACAGGGGCAGTGGTTCTCAAACTTGAGCTTGTGTCTGAATTACTTGGGGGAATTATTGAACACAGGCTGCTGAGCCCCATGCCCTGAGTTTCTGAATCAGTACGTCTGGGATGGAGCCGAGAATCTGTTACTAAGAAGTTACCGGCTGGTGAATCTGCTGCTAGTCTGAGGCCACACGTTGAACCATTAGTTTAGGCAGGGCAATGACTGGTAAAGGAAATTTATGAAAAACAACTACCTACTGTGTACCTCCCACCCCTGCCTCACCTTCTTCTAAGAATAGTAATTCTTATTGCTTGTCTATTACAGTTTTCATTTCTTTTTCTCTCAACACATATGCACCCAATGAGTACCACGAGTCAGGTTCAAAGCACTGAGCATGACACCTTCAATAAGACGAGAAACAGGGCTCTCAAGGAACTGAAAATCTTTAGGGGGGATGAAATCACACAAATTGGGAATCTCCATGTTAAGGGAGAAGTTTCTTGAAAAGGGTGAGTTCAGGTGTTAGCACAGCTCCTGAGTGGTAAGAGGGAGGAATGGTTTGGAGGGAAGAAGCTGAAGAAGGTTCCACAGGAAAAAAATCCACACATGAGGTCTTGGTGTTCTCTAGAAATTGAAAGACATTTACTGTGGCTGCAGGACAGGCAGGAAGGAGAAGGGGAGTTTGGAGAGAGCCTGCTAGCTGCAGACGGAGATGGCTCCTCTGGTTTGAAGTTTGGAGCCTGTAAGGGAAGGACTTTTGTCCCTCCTGTGTCCGGTGTGGGGGAGTGGACTCCTTTGGGTCTGTCAACACCAAACACCCAGAGGAGGGTGCAGCCTTCCTTCCTGCCCTGGCCTGCCCACTGTTCTGACCACTTTTCCATGAGGCTGTGGATAGGGTGGGCTTTGAGGCCGGAAGCCAGAGGTGAGTGGCAGGCCCGGGTTTGCAACTTTGGGGAAGTCGTAAACTGGTAAGGCTTGAAGATTCCTAAATAAAGGCCCTTTGCATAGTCTAGAGGTGGGTGGGAGTGGTGGTTGTGAAAGAGAAAGACAAGACTGGCTGGTTGGAAGCAAACCGCTCTGAGTGGGAAGGTCCTCAGCCGAGGGCCTGCCAGTGCTCTGGGCCGGAGAACTCACCCTGCAGTTAGGGGATTTGGGGCTCTGCAAAGGTCTAGGTGAGACTATTGTCCAGAAATAGTACTTTAGAAAAGTGACCGTTTAAGGAGGTCTTAAGACTTTCTTTGGTAACTTCTTAACACGCTTACAGGACTCTGGGAGTAGGAACAGTAGAAGGAAAAGAGAGAGGCTCGTTGTCCAAAACTCATGCTGCATGTGCCCACACCAACCCCTTCAGATGGAGGGATGTTTCCAGGGGTCCCACTGTCCTCTGCATGTGGCTCTGTCTTGGCACTGACTGCACTGGACAGCAACTCTATCTGCTTAGATTCCTTCAGGGGCTCTCGTCAAAGGTAGGTTTGCTTACCTAACCCTGGCACAAAAGCTTAATTAATGCTTCAGTATATTCCTGTGACAGAAAAATGACTTATAAATGTGAGGGTGTGCTGTGACAATTCCTGTGTAGCCTCCCCACTGTGGGACCCCTGAGTCCCAGATTCCAGCACTTTCCTCTTCTTCCTTCTGCCTGATTCCTCATGCCTCCACCAGTCCTGGTGTGACGCTGTTCAACGTGTTGTTCTGGGAAAATTTCCACTCAACTACCTGGGGATTTTTGCTTTAGCCCCAACGTTTGTCCAGGTGGGAGTTAGAGTGTTGGCAGGACTCCCACAGTGGGAGATACAGTGGCTGCTTTGGGATGTCCTTTAAATCACACTGTGCCTACTCCCCTTGCACAAAGGAATGGCGTTGCCAATGCTAAGCAGTCTCTGACATCCTCAGCCTGGTGCTGTTCTCATTTCCCAGTGCGCTGACTTGCAGGCCTGTGATCTCCCACTGTAACCTCCCAGCTGCTTCCCTTGGCTACGTGCCTTCTTAGCATAAAGGCCAGGGCCTCTGCCTCAAACTGCTGCTAAAGAAAGTGTTCCATGACCATGGAAACCTTCTGCTCCAAACTCTTGTTCCACCTTCCACCCCAAGTCTGCTCAGCAGCTCACACCGGCGTTCACGGGTTACCTAGGCACACTGGCCCTTGGCCTAGGATGAAGGGGCCACATGAGGAGAAGCAGTGTTCAGCGTCCGCCTCCACCCTGTCTGGCTGCAGGGCCTTGGAGCTTTTGCTCCTCATCTCTCCTCCCAAGGGAAACTGGAGAGGAGAGGCTGTGCCCGGGGCTGCTCTCATACTGCCTGTTCATTTCTCTTTGCTCCTTCGCCCTGCTCTGGAACCCTGTTCTATAGCTCATCCTCCTGTTTC